TGTTTAATAGYAGAACGGACAGAGCTTTCTAAACCTGCTTAGATAATGCCTGCTGCTTCTGGGAGAGGATGGCTGAATTACTAAGAAATTCAGTTCAGTGAGTTCTGTGATGTATAAATATTTGCACGAAGTTACTAGAGCAGAACTAAAGAGTTGTGGCTTTTTCTTTCTGAACTGGTATTGCATGTCCAGCAAAGACTTGTCAAGTGCTGGAACATCTCATTTTCTCCMTGTTACAATGTGCATAATATATAGAGGATCCTAGCATTCATAAAGCATCTCAACTGGCTGCCCTTCATTACCTTCCCTATCTCCATTTGGCTGTATGAAAGCTGGAATGTTACATCTATGGGGAGCAGGAGTTTTCTCCTAGTTCAAAGCTTTTCTCTCAAATGTAAAGGCTTAGACATGACAGCACATTAAGATAAAAGGACCACATGTAACTCACTTTATTCAGAATATTACAAGCCCCGTAGAAGAGGTCGGGCACTGGGAGGACATGGGAGCACACACACCTGCTGCATTTACATCAGTGATGCGTATTTCTTTGGCTGTGAGCTCTTGGGGAGTTATCAAGAAGATCATAGAATCATAGAATGCTTAAGGTTGGAAGGGACCTCAGAGGTCATCTAGTCCACCCCTCCCAGCTAATGCAGGGTCACCTAGAGCACAGGACTGTGTCCAAGGGAGTTTTAACGATCTCCAAAGAAGGAGAATCCGCAACCTCTCTGGGCAGCCTGTTCCAGTGCTCTGTCACTCTCACTGTCAAAAGTGTTTTCTTAAGTTCCTGTGAAACTTTTGGTGCTTCAGTTTGTGTCCGTTTCCTCTAKTCCTATCACTGTACACCACTGAGAAGAGGCCGCCCCCTCCTCCTCACTGCCTCCCTTGAGGTATTTATAGACACTGATCAGGTCCCCCCTCAGCCTTCTCTTCTCCAGGCTGAACAGGCCCAGCTCTCTCAGCCTTTGCTCATAGGGCAGATGCTCATTTARCATTTGTCCATACAGCAAAAGAAGAAAAACATGCTGTAAAACTCTTGCATGCAAAGCTGGCTCATAATTGTGCTACTTTTCTTCTAGCTACCACCTAGAGCAGTTTTCTGAAGCATTTGGCAAGGTGACTTTTAAGTGAAGTTTGTTTCTCCTCTTTGAATGGAATTTGTTTTGTCAGTGTTACAAATCCTAAATGTAAGACCCCACTCCCCAAGCAGTGATAGCAGAGCAGACTCAGGTAGTGTTAGTTTCATGTTTTGTAGGGTTTGGGTTTATGGACTTTTCTAGATAAGAGAGAAGATTAAGCTCAGACTTGGTCTTGGTTTAATTTACACCACAGTGGAATAGATTATTGCTACCCTTTGTCTGCAAGRAGGTTTTGCCAAGTGACGTTTTCTTGGCCAAGAAAACCTATCCCTAAGGCAATAATAAGTGATGGTTTCAGTGGTAGTGAACCAGGGTGTTTTGACAACAGCTGAATCTTTATAGGCAGATCCCTGTTTCCCGCATAGGGAGCCTTACATGTCTGTTCCTGTARAGGAATCAAGTTTATGCACGTTTGTAAATCCAGAGAACTGGATTATTTGCATGGGGACTGAGTGTCTATGTGTCTGTGCAAAGTATTCACCATTGCTCTGTGCTCAAGGAAGAATATATGAAGGATAAGCCAAATTGCTTCTCCTGTGCTATATACATCTATGCTATTCATGCTCCACATTAAAAATGTACCAGCTCGTAATAGCTGAAGTGATAGAGAAGCTAATTTCGATCTCAAATGTGATAGAGCTGTAYTAGCCGCTTGGCAAATCTACAGCAATTAGCGCTGTTCAGTACGGTGCTAACAGCTGTGCTTCTGCTTGGGACATCTTGACACAGAGCTGCATTCCCTTGGGTAAATGTGTTCTTGCTTTGCTCTTATTCTCAGAGATACAGTGCACTAAATGGGAATAAACCTGAAAACCTGAGAAGGAATAGAGAATTAGTGATAAATAAATTATGTTTTATTAGCCACGACATTCACAAAACTCCAGAATAGCACATTTACTGAGAACTTGCCCCAAATCTCTGTAAAATGGATAGGTCTTTTTTGTTGTGTGAAAAATAGCACGGAACTGAGAAAGCAGATTTTTTTTTTTTTTTCAGACCATACTTGGGCTTTTATCAGATCCCTGTTTATTTTGTAGAAATTGAAATACCTTATTCTTTCTTCAGAATTCTGGCTAATCTATCCRGATATACGGAGGTTTCCATACAGGATGTTTAAGAAGTTAGTCTAAACAGGCAGATAACCTGAAGTATTTTATAGGGAAGTTGATATTTTCTTCCCTTTTAATGAAGATAGACATTATTAAGAGAAAGGGCTATGCTGCTTCATGGTGATCCCTTGGAAACAAATCAAGTCTCATCAGGTCTGCAGAGATATCCTGTTCTCGGCCTTCTGCCAACGTGTGGTAGCTAGTGAGCCAAGCTGAATGAAAGTTTTGTGCTATTTTACTGGATCCTCATAAGATACTTTCTTGCACAGCAGAATTACAGGTAGTGGTGTTCATCCAGGGAGTATTTCTTGCCATTAGATTTACTCATGTTAGCACTAAAATGATCTGCTTGCCACTGTACTCCCCGCACTGGTCCTTATCTACCTTATGTGACATGAATTCACCACTCCTGAATTGGGAAGAGCACTGRAGAAGCCATAGCAGAACGTGATGAGCTGTAATTAAACTTACTGATACATGCRTAGCGCTGTCTTCCCTTCTGCTCTGGGTTGCTCGGGTGGCTCGGAGACCTGCTGTTGGCTGGTGATGGTGCTTTCTGCCCTCTGCCCAGCACAACTGCTGGGGGAGAGGAGCCTCACGGAGCTCGGGCAGGGGGCATCAGGRAAGCTGCAATGGCTCCTCATGCGCATGGCCTGCATCCAGCTGACGGAGCAGCACGCTGGTTGCACTGGCACCGTCAGTAAAATGTATTTCTCTAGGAGCAACAGTTTTGTCTTGTGCGCAGTAACAGGGCCAGTAACTGTGGGGAGGTTGTTAATTTATTTTTTGTTTTTGGACAGTTTTGTACAGTTTTTCTTTTCCATGCATCTCAGCCCTGTTAAAGGGTATACTTCAAAGTAAAGGATTTTAAATCCCATTATCTTACCCAAATAATGGGGACATCATTTTTAATGATACTGTCAAACGTGTTTTTGTGTTTCACTGCGAAAGTGAACTAACGAACGTAAATATTGACAGAAATGCCCTGGCAATCCTGATGCAGAGCAAGGAGTGATTCAGGAAAGCTCTTCCAGTCTCCGGGAAACAGTCTGTATATGTTTTATTTTATTTTATTTCTGGATTTTTGTAAGTGGCTCAGTTGTTGTTCAAAGTGGTCAAAAAGTGGTTTTGTTTCAAATGATAAGTGAAAGACAGGAAAGCTGTACACTAGGATTTATTTTACCAGACTTCTGCAGCAGGGAATGAAGAATTGGATGCATGGGCCATCTTTAATTGTGTGGATTTGGTCAGAGGCTTGTTTTTGTTTTGTTTGTTTTACTCAGCTTTTTTTTTTGTTTGTTTGTTTCTGCTTGAGGCAACTGATTGTCTTGTACTAGAATAGCATTTTTATTTTTGAGATTTTGTGACTTGAGAAAGTCACATCATTGTGTGTACATGTGTGTGGTGTTGCTTCTCTGAGCCTCTTTCTCCCTTTGCTTTTTTCTGTCTTTTTTTTTTAATTTTTTTATTTTTTTTTTTATTTTGAAGTAGCTTAAGATCCAATTGCTTGTCTTTATTCCACCACCTAATTGTCTTCATTCCACCACCTGGACCCAGAGCCTGGTTGTGAATTTGTTCCCTTATTTCATGACTCTGGATAAATCTTATCTTTGCTTCTTTTATAATATTTGGTAACTTTGCCAGTTCTTAAGTGCCTCTACAACTCAAATATTGACTATATGCTGTGTGAAGTACCTCTTCTTATCTGGCCTTTCTCATCATCAGTCATCCCTGAAATACTGTTTAAAGTCATGCTTCTGCTCCTTTTCCTTACCACTTAAATATTATTTCTAACTGTGTCAAATTGAAGCTCACTTATGATCTTCCATAGCCGCAGCCTACCTCATTTGTGCCGCCTTCTCATCTTGTCCTATCCTTTTTTTTTTTTTTTTCCCCACCCCTCCTTCTCTTTGGAGGTGGAGAGGACTGTGTATTTACTGTTCACTTCCTTGCCTATACATTTTGCTTTTAAGCTTTCCATCTTTTACTAATATCACATCCATCAGGCTTACATCTCTGTTTTTATCTGCAGTTTCGACAATTTTCCTTCTTTGAATTTCTTCCAACAGAAGCTGCTCTGATCATAAACGTGCAAATAACCACTCTTAGCTGAATAACCACTCTTAACTCTTAGCTGAGCGGTTTGTGTGGTTTTTTTTTTTTTTTTTTTTTTTTTTTTTTTTTTTTTTTTTTTTTTCCTGCTGCACTTCTTTTGGACTGTGAGATCTCTGGAGCAGAGGATCCAGCTACTGGCTTTCTTGAAGAGCTCCCTGTAAACTTAGACTGCTCTGGAAAGTATCATTAAAAGTAAAGATCAGGCCTTTCCTTTCTCTGCTTCTGGTGTGTTTTGCCAAACGCAGTTTAAGGTACTGTGCTTATGCCTTAGATCTGGGTGCTCTCAGGCATGAGGGGTGGGACAAGTTAGGATTGATAGGGAGGAAAGTGAGAGAATTAAAGCAAATGCACTAGCATAGGATTACACGCTGCATATCCTTCTCCTCAGTTACTGTCTCTACCTGTCCTTTGAGGATATCTGATCTAGGCATGTATTGCAGCTGAAGAGTAACTGATTGTCAACCAATGTCTGGTTGCATGCTTGTGGTTTTAATAAGCTAATTTTCCACAGTCCTGAAGAAGARAGGAATCTGCTGATCTGACAGCATGTCACACAGTGCATTAGCAGAAAACAGCCTTGGAGCAGCCTTTTGAATTTTGTATCAAAAAAATCTGACTGACTTTTTTTGTCTTGCAGAGGCAGGCAGCGGTCAAGATTACGTGACCTCAGAGAATCAGCTACTCTACTATCCTAGTATTACCTATGCTATCATTGGTAGCTCTGTCATTTTTGTACTTGTGGTGGCCTTTCTTGCCTTGGTTCTGCATCACCAAAGAAAACGCAACAATCTCATGACCCTGCCTGTGCATCGACTGCAGCACCCAGTGCTGTTGTCCCGCCTGGTGGTCCTTGATCATCCACACCACTGCAGTGTTACTTACAACGTCAACAATGGCATCCAGTACATGTCCAACCAGGCCTACCACAGACCAGTGGATTTGGATTCTCCACCGTCCTACTCAGAGGCTGTGCTAGACCAAAGGTATGTACAGGAGCTAATTCCGTTTTCACCAAACTTTAAAGCTACTGTTTGCAGCTCTTGGAATCTATGCTTCTGCTTGCCAGTTAGCTTTGCTATTCTTTTTGATGAAGGTGTTGYGTGGAAATTCTGTCACTCGCATGAAGGCAAATCTTAGCAATCTTTTTTCATAACTCCTCTTGCATATGAAAAATTCTAAGTCCATRCAGTCCCTTTCTGGTTACTGGTATTAAAGAGATGGATTTAAGATGAACTTYAGCCAGACTGTCTTAATGCTAGTAGCGCCAGGGGATGGCAGGAGAATGCTAATAGTGAAATCCTGTGCCAATATGGAATCAGAACATGAAAAATGTATTTGCATTTGTTCCAGAAGAGAGTTAAGTTGCAAGTATTACTATTTTAAAAACTTCAGAATTAATGACATATCTTGGTGGTCAAAAGTAATGTCTACAYTTCTTGCATCAAGAAGTCATGTAGTTCTGCTCTGTCTGCTTTTCTTCTTCCCAAACAGAGGAAGAAAGACCTCTGAAATAGAAACACTGTTTTCATTCAAATAGCTGAAAGTGCTGTAAATTTTTGTGGGTAGGTGTGGTTTAGATGATTTGCTTTAATAGTTAGGAGTTATTTGTAGATAATTAACCTTAATTTTAACCTATGTCTATAAACTCTTTCCAAGCAGAGCTTGTAGTCTGACATCCTCCCAACATAAAAAGGGCAGAGCATGAGCTTTCATGGTCCAGATTGTTCACTGTCACCCTGTTAATATTCTTCAACATAAACTCTGGCATCTAAGAAATAGACTRAAATATTTACATTCCTGTTCTCCACTGCATTTGGCAGCTTGCTTCCTTGATGTTCGTGCTCAATAATAATAATATCTTTTTATTAGAAAATGATCAGCTGTCCAGATTGTAGTTACTCCTTACCTGATCAACACCACCGTCAGCAGCTTCAGAGCTATTTTTTCTAAGACCTTTAATCAGTCTGCTAAACCTCTCAGTTTATTCTCAACACCAGTAGTAGTTTTCTGGAACTCAGTACTCATCTGTGCATGCTTGGCACGTGCTCTGCATGTGATCTTAGAACAGCCAAATCAATTTGTTTTTTGAAGAATTCAGTTCTTCAAAACTGGGCACCATTAATCTCACTTAGTTAATGGAGGATTCCTCAGASCTTTCCTATGCTCACATTATGATATGAAAGTGTAAGTTCACCTTTTTTCTTTTAAAGTGCTTTCTCAGAGTGTGTACATGTTACTCATGAAGAAATCTTACAGCTGCCTTTGAGGGAAAGGTGAAATTTGTCTGGCAATGACTACCCATGAAAATTTTACTGTGAAATGTTCAGCAGGACATATTCAGCTATGTTATGTCTTGAAATCTTGTTACCTGATCATAGTGATGTGGACGTTTTCCAAATGTAGTTAGGGCTTTTTGAGATCCTTGATTTAAAAAAACAAGAAATACTGTTCACACTGTTCAGAATGGAAAAACACTTTACTTGTTTCCATATGTCTATCTGGAGTAACCTCTTACTGTCTTGTGTGTCTTGCAGCAGACCACCTTGGTTTGACCTTCCTCCACCCCCTTATTGTTCTGAATCTGAATCCCCTAATCAGCCAGACCTTCCTCCTTACCGCTCTCGGACAGGGAGCTTGGTGAGCACAGATGCCACCATGGTGGGAAGCCCTATGAGCAGCGAGGGCAGTCGGACAGGAGGTGTCCATGACAGTGGGGACTGCCACAGGACTCTTCTCGATGGACCGGCCGGCCACAGCGACTCTCTCATCAACCCTCTTGCTGAACGGGAAGTGTAACTGCCCTGCTATTTCAGATGAGCAGAAAGGGATTTACTGTTTCAAACTAAGTGCAAATTAAACCTTATAGACGTAGGTGAACATGTGCCGGAATGATGGCTTGATTTGAATCCAAACTTTATTAATAATTTGATCCAATGTTTTGAGCTTACTGAAGATCACAGTCATAAGGACTAAATCTAGAGTCACATCAACTCCTCACAAAATTTCTGTAAAAGCACATTCTGGTTTGAAACAGTTAAAAAGAACAACRACAAAAAAACCCACCATCAGTCCTTCGCTGGAGACCTGGTCGAATATATTTCTGGGAATATTTACTGTATATGAATGTATATATGTGCATGTATAATATATACAGATTTTGGAGACAAAAACTATGCCAGAAGAACTCCTGTTCTCAGACTTACTCTTGTCYTATCTACCTGTGAATCATTTCTTCTTACTGCCTGGTGCCAAGTGGCGGTCACTGAAGCGCCAGAGAGACAGTCTTTCAGCTTGGAGGTCAGACATCCAATGCTAACACATTGACAGTGCTTGTGTTGCAGAGAATGTCCCACTTGACCCTTCTCTCCCTGGGTTGGAACATTATCACTGTGAATGTATTTTTCAACGATTTTAAGCTTGAGAGGTTAAAACAAGTCTCTAACTGAGCAAATAAGTTTTATTTTTCCCAAATGCCAGTAACTAGGTCAAATTAGCACGGTTTTTCTCAGGAATACCACAAAGGTTGGCTCGTCTGTCAAACTTCAAGGCTTTAGACGGAAGCACTGAAGCTTCTCAAAAAAATAGCGCAAGACTTCTTTTCAAGCATGGCAAAACAACATTGCTCCTTGTGTTTCTTCTCAAAAATGGAGAAACTATTTCAGCTAAACTTGAACACCAAACCAGTCTGAGACAAACACCCATTGTGGAAAACTTCAGTGTGAATGACTAGCTTGTTATTGCTGTAAATAACTGAAAGGAGATCATGCAGTGAAAGGTGTTGGGCTTTGTGCCTGTCATAACTGTCTGCAGTGCATATACATGACATACATGCATGGAGACACATATTTAATACTGTCTATGTATGTATGCAAATAACATCATATTACATAGTTTTTATTTGCATCTGTATAACCCTGAAATTTCAAATTCTCTAATATAGAAATCTCATTCCTTTATGCAGAGTTAGCCATTTTTCATATTCATTTGGCTGGAATCAAGTTGCTGCATACAGACAGAAGTTCTTTTTGTTTATTTGTTTTTCCTCTATCTTAATTCTTGGAGCATTCTCATGTGAAATGTTGCAGTGCACTGTTTTGAATTGCCCTTGTGAAATCAACTCAGATGTAAAGGTATTCAGAGTGGCAAGAAATAAGGCAAGCTGTGAATTTAAGTGTCACTATGTTGCTGTGCTTGTGCATAGTATACAGAGAGGAGTGCAATGTGTTTCTCTTGTCTGAAAAGAAACTGGTCTTGAAAATTATTTGTATCTGCCTGTTAGACGCATTTCCCACTTCCCTTCACTCGCATAATGAAGAGTGTCATTATGTTGACTTTGTATGAAAAAAGTCAATCGTTCCCCAAGGGTTATGTGCTAAGAGTTGAGCCTGAGCTGGGTGTGGATAGGGGAGTGACTCAAGTTAGGTCTCACTTGCCACCCTGTGTAATTCAGTTGGTTCTGTGCTGCTTGCTCCTCTCTACATCAGGAGGTCACTGCTGTAGGAGGCAGGCACCAGGTGGATTTTGCAAGCCTAGGGTGTTCTAACAGCTTGTATGGTAGGGAGCACTGCAGCACTCTAATGGTCTTTGCTCAATCTGGAAGCAAATTTTCAACAAATTGCCCTGTAGGTTTAGCAGCCTCACCTCAGCGAAGGTGCTGGTAAGTACTTGTAAGATTCCCTCCTTGGTGGGAGCTCAAGCAATGAGCTTATGCCATTTTGCACAAAATGGGATTTGGCTAATTGAGTGCTCRCTCCATACAGCCTCATAGGCAGACTTGTCATTGCCATAGAGCACATAGATATTTATTTTACAAGTAGGTTAAATTCAGGCATATAGCTGAGTTAGTAGGGAAACTGGGTGCTCAGGGGTACCCTGTGGGCATTAAACTCTGCAGGCCTCCTTTCCTTAGAATATGCTCAGCCTTCTGTACCAGAGCTACATAGTACAGTATCAGAATTATTCTTAACATTTTTGTCTTGCTGTTTTTAAAACATATTAAGCTGTTCTAAAAGGTTTAACTTTCATTTAAGGTATAATATAAACCTTAAGAGAAGTTATAGGAGAGTTCAAAGTAGTTTCATTATACTTTTTTTTAAACAAAAGAAAATGTAGCCTGTAGCTGTATTAAGGAAACTTAAGTCACTGTGTCCATGTAGCTTTCATGGTACATATCCCTCACACTAGCCTTCCAGGGGAACTGCCTTTCACCCATGTTTCCTGGGATACCAGAGTATGTCTAAACCAAATACACGTTTGCCTGTAGCGTCTGAAAAACACTGCCTGGCCTTTTTCATTAGGAAAAGGAGACCTAGCTGCCCCTTTGGCATTCTGCATCAGTCACTGTCAAGTGTGTACATACATATATATGTATAAAACCTACTCTTTCAGGTTGTATATATTCATGTAACTTTTGCATTAAGATGATCCCTTTGGACTTTACCAAAAAAAAAAAAAAAAAACCCCACAAAAGCCCAAATTCTAAATGGTATGACATTTTCCCTTCCAGCTAAGGGTGTATTTATCTTTTGTATAGGAAAATTCTATTTTGTGTTTGGGTTTTGTTTCTTTGAAAGTGGGAGATCTAAAATGAAATCGTGCCTTTCTGACTGAATGTTGATGGGTGAGRGGTTGGAAAGGGAGGCTTGTAACAGGATTTTGAGGGATGAGGGGAAGGGGGGTGACACATCATTGTCTGAAGATCCAAAAAGAGAAAGAAATCTTGTCTTCCTTTTTGTTGTTACTTTTGGGGACCATTGAACTTTGCAGAGTACAGAAGTTCAATATCTGCCTCCAAAAAACGATGCTAAAACTTGATGGAGGATATTCATTTTACTGCAGTTTTCTGATATGTAGAGCAGATTTGGTAGCTTGTTTATTTAGAAAATGCTATCACACAGGAATTGTTTATAACATGTCACTTTCCAGTAGCGTTAATACAGCRTTTTACTGCATTATTCAGCAGAATCTGTGGAAAATGGTGGTAGTGACAACAGCGCTGATGGAATTAAATATTTCATTGAAAAACCTGCAATTCCTTGATCTTCAGCTTGTAAGGTTGAAATTAAATGTTCATGAAATACCTTGTGGTAGGCTTTCCTTTCAGTAGCTGATGAAGTTGGAATAAGTCATTCTATTGTTTGCAATTGTTCTTGACCTTTTAGTTTGAGGTGTCTCTGCCAGGATCTTTCTTTTGTGCCTATTATGTAAGCAAGWGCTTGTTCTTTTAAAAGATTCATTCTTACAGAAGTAACATTGATGAAAGTTTCCTTCTGGAGTCAAATTCTGATTCTATATCTGTGTTGAATTATGACCACAGTAATTAATAGCTCCTCTGTGAGAGCAGGTATTAATATATTTGGGTTGAAGAAAATAATTGGAAGAGGTGACTACTTGCAATAAATGAAGGCATTGTGTTTAGTCTATTAGAAATAAGATTTCAGTTGTTTTAAAAAACTTTGTTTGAATGTCAGTAACCTCGATTGAAGTCACCAAGTGCTATGTATGTTMAAACTAGGCCATTAGTGAGTGCAACTGATAATACACTGAAGTTGCTTATAAATCAGATTGCAAATTGCCTCTCTAGTTTTGTGCTAATGGAAAACTGGCAGTAATGTTTTTAAAGAGAGCTTGTGAATAATATTCTCTGCTGTTGTCTGCAGTGACACACACGACAACACTGACTGCATTGCGATTTTTAAATAACTCTGCATTCATTCTTCTTCTTTTACGTCAAATCAGTTTTATYTACACCACTTCACTTTGATACTGCTAATAGGGCCCTTGTGATAGATTTAGGAGTTGGGTGGAGGAATGAGATGATGGCTCCAATTTTAATTAATGCAGTAGCTTGTTAATCTTGTGTGCTTTACTTTTAAGGCATCCTAGAAAAGACAAATGGTTTTAGTAGATAAAAAACTATTAATGATGAAAAGGATAGAGGGACACTGATTCTGAATTTAGTTTTTAATGAATATTTAAAATTATTTAAATAATGGAAGAATTTGATGCTCTTTTTTAGTACTTTTTTAACTATTGTTTGTCAGAAGCTACTTTGAATATAGTGCCTGAAACTAAATTGTAAGACAAGTGCTTTTTTTTTGCAGTTTCTGCTGGATCTGAAATATTTTATATTAGCATAAGTCTATATCAAACTTACGGACTAAAATACATGACTGCAGAAAATTTGAATACTATGCAGGACTCCGCGTGAATGTAGCCTACCATAGGACTGTGGCCTTTGATTTTCCTTTTTTGTTTCTGATTTCAGGGGTTCTTGTCAACTTGAAATTGAGATGTTATGTAAGAGCTTTAAGTGGGATTGCATGTTGAAGACCAACCTTGTCTTAAACTTTTGTAAACTGGAAATCTTCAAAAATGTATTCCATGTTCCTGAATAAAGTTGACATTTTAATACTGTTCACAAAAGAGGATGTTTTCCATCATGTGAAGTCTCTATTTTATAGCAGCTTCCTACATTAGGCTTCTTACAGCCTCTTTTGCGTTCAATATTAAGTTTTGTTGAATTTGTGTGGATCTTTAACTGTTTTTTTGTTGRTGGTGAGTTTCTTTTTTAAGGTACTAATGTAAAGACACATACAGGTTAAAAAAAAAAAACCACAGGTGTATATGCCTATACATACTTCCGCAAATGAAAACTCCCTGTTTCTGAATTTTTGTTTTTTGTCCTCCCATTTGGCTCGTGCAGTCTGAAAGAAGGCATCCAAAGCAGTCCTGTTTGTTTGTCATTTGTGTGATAGCAAAGCTCCAGAGACTTGAGCAGCGACTGGAACAGTGCTGGCTGCTGCAGATGGATTTACTAACAGAGCTAAAGGGCCTTTGGTTCCCCCAAGCATTAGCATGTACCTCCCTCCCTCCTGCCTGCAGCTTTCCCCCCACAGTCCCTTACGCGCCTGTGTATCTCCAGCTCATGACGCGTGTGTCGGGCACATGAACCACGATCGCTTCGTGGCGAGTGTGTGACTGGCTGAAGTGTCACGGCCGGGCTCTTATCCAGCACGTGCTTGACATGGGCGCAACTATTGTGCCCTCATGTAGCCTAGACTTCCTTCCATCAAATTTATATGTGGGCCACGACCACTGTCAATATGTCATTAGAGATAGTCCTGTCACTCAAAGGCTAGTGTTAAGAAATTACCGTTATTAAGTTATTTTTGAAGATTAAGAAATATAGGTCTAAATATTGTATCTAAATATTTCCATCTAGAAAAGGGATTGACATACTTCACTTCCATGGCTCCTCTCTACTTGCCACCTTACCTCATTGCAAATACTTGTCAGCTATATCATTATCCTGGTTAATTAAGTCACATGCCATCACCCAAATACTCGAAGGATATGCTTTGTCTCACAGTGGCAACCTGCCCCCAAATAAATAGCTGTGGATTCAGAATTCACCCCACCATCAAAGGGAAAAGAAGCTGTTGACACAGCCACAAAGCATTCGCTGCAGGAAGGAGAGTGCTGGAGTCCCAAAACTGGCACATTCAGTCATGTCACAGCAAGGGCTAAGCTTGAGTAATGTTGATTCAGAAGACAACTGCTTATGAAAACAAATAGTGCATGCTCCAACTAAGCTTCCCAGTTAATCACTTTTATTTTCTGTGCTTTCAATTTATTTAAAGATCTTAATTTTTATGCCTTAAAAATTAAATGTGCATTTTGTTTCAGCGGTGATTTCTAAGCACGGCATATTTCCTTGCTCATTGGGTAAGCAGCCTCTTGATTGTTCAGCTTCAGTTATCTGTCAGTCAGGGAGCCAAGACGCTTTTCGCTTTTTGGGAAGCTCTAGTCCAAAATGATGTGCTGTTATTAATTGAAGTACAGGCATCTTCATGTGGAAATTCACAGCTTTTCAAGTGTGCTTTTCAAAGGAAAGTTCGGAGTATGCCTATTGCATAAAGCGCTTTGGGAAAGTAGTGGATCTTTCTGAGAAGTTAACTTTTCTGTTTATCCACAAAACAGTGTGAATAACACTGGAATTTGATTGTCTAYTTCCCAAATCCCACCAAATCCGTTCCTTACAACTTTATGGAGGACAGTGCTGCAGATGTGCAGCTTGTGGTCCATCCAGTCCTTAGTATTTCTGTGAGACTTGACACAGTGGTTCAGTGGTAAAGGTATTTTGGTGCTGGATCCTGTGCAGGAGACTCTTTCTCACTGAGAACTGATTTGAAGCTATCAAATCCTATATTCCGCCCAACAGCTGTCCTAAGGATTTGTTAGTAAAGCACCAAGGGTTAATCCATATCACTGACCTTTATCTTAAGTCACAGACCTTATCTGTGACTTGATACCACAGCCTGAAACTCTGCAATTTAAGCCATGGCTACTTCTCAGCATCAAGAACAAGCACCTTCATTGCTGTAAGAACAGTAGGGTTGATAGGTCCAGCCTGACCCAAAACAGCTCACTTCTAGAACAGCCAACTGCCAGTGTCAGTCTGACCGAAGGAATGAAGGCTCTGTTCCATTTATTTGTGATACCTGGTGTTTCCTTGACAAATATGAGTAATGTTATGACACAGTGAGGCCGTGTGATGTTTTATTTGACAGAGYAGATTTTTCTTCTCATTTGTTTCTGACAGTTATCTTAGAGAATGCTGTTTTCCCAGAAATGCCTCCAAAGTAGCAGTTGCTTGTACGGATATAGAAGGAGGAAATTAAAATTTTCTTTGATATAGACACAGCCCATTAGGAGGTGGGGCTTTGTCGGTTATGTCGATCTAGTTGTTGCTATGTATGGATGTATTTGAGGAGAAAAGTTAATTGTTTTTTCCCCAATTGCAACTTCATCTTCTGTGACCACCAGCTGTGCAGTGGGAGGCCCGGTGGGAAGTGTGCGGCACGATACGTTCCAGAGGCAAAGCATGTTCCTCACGCAGCCGCCGCTCTGGGCTGCGGGCTCTCTGTGGGCAAAGAGGGCATCCACAGGTGCAGGTGGCCACTGAGACGATGCTGATTTGGGTCACAGTGGCCTAGCACCTGGGAGAAGTGCTCCCTTCTTCTGTTTTTCATGAGTCTACCCTTTCTCAATTGGGGTTTGTTTCTTTAATGCATCTACTAAGCCCAAGGAGGAAATACTTAAATGYTGCATAATCCCTGTGCCTGCTAACTACAGAGGCATTGCAAACATTTGACTGTTTTTTAACTATTTCTGTTTACCTAAATAAAGCACAAAGTCAAAGGGCAAAATTCTGCATGTGCACATAGCATATTTGCTGCTATCCCTTGGCGTCCTTTCCTAAGCAGGAATGTTAGCAGAACCCATGAATTC